GTCTTGTTCTTGAGTGTTCTTAGTTTTGTAAACACGTTTAGGGAAGCTTGTTTCCCTTGGTTGTACGAAGGAAAGGTATTTTCCTTCGGGTTGAAGTCTTAGAGTGCGGTATCTCCGAGCAAGTGTATTGAGGCTCGTGGGACTCGAGTTCTCAGGTTGTAACGGTTTGTTAAGCACCCGTAAGCTTAACGGAAGTAGTGTAGCTCGAGAGAGTCTCTCGGGAGGCTGGATTAGCCACAAGTTGTGGTGAACCAGGGTAAATCTTGGTGTGCTCCCTTTACTCCTTTTTATTCCGCTCTTTACTTTATCCCTGCGATTTTTATTCCGCGAAAATTTATAAACATTCTCGTGCCTCACTATTCACCCCCCCTCTAGTGAAGGGCACTTATTCTAACAATATATATATATATATATATATATATATATATATATATATATATATATATATATATATATATATATATATATATATATATATATATATATATATAGTTCGACTGTCTGGTCGCAACGGTGCAAACTGATTTCAATTCGGAGAAAGTTGGACCGAAAAGTGTACCCCGACTGGGACCAAAATTAGTCTCAATCAAGGACTACACACCAAATGGCGCCCTATTCAATTACGCCGATTCCAAATCGTCGCTCAATCATGGAAGCTGCAACCCATGTCTTCTTCCTTCCTCACTTGGCTATTTAAGGAGAGCCAACTCCTTCATTTCCTCACCAAAACAACTCATTCTTCCTTCTATCTTGTTCCTTGCTGAGAGTAGAGTTCAGTGATGCTGTCATTCTTGTGTGAGGTCGCCGGAGCAGAGAAATATAGTCACCGGAAGTTTTGCCGGAAAATATTCAAAACCTTCATTTACCTTCGAGGTAAGCCCGTAGATATATGTAGTGACTAGAATGTTCATATAGATCGTTTCTACGTTCATAAACGGTCGTTTGGTTGAGTTTTGTGTTTGACATGCTTGAAGAACCAAGAATCATAAACCATGAAATTGATGTTAAAAGTATGAATTAATGATTCTAAAATGATCTATGAACCTTGGAGAACATCTCTATATAGTTTCGTTGAAGTTCGATAACTAAAAACCGTATTTCCGAAATTGGACCCGAACGAAGAAGAAGATGAACAGTGCCTGAAAAACCACCGTCTGGATCGATCCAGGGGCTTGGATCGATCCCCTAGGAGTGATTTTTCATAGTTTGGATCGATCCAGAGGGTTGGATCAATCCCCCGAAGTTCTGATCCGAAAATTTGCCTGAAATTACTATTTTTGAGCTCTAAAATCCTATTTTTGATACCAATTGATTATGATTATTTTAAGAATGATTCTTTACAATAAAAATGATGTTTTTAAAATAAAAATGTTATGTGATGCATGATGGTAAATTCGGGTGTTAACACTTGAAACTAGACCGCTAATTGTTATTGCTTTAAATGTTATGGTGATTGATGATTATGATTAATAAACCTACTGATTAAAAATGAATATGTTGATGATTATGGTAATGATTATTGGTTGGTGATTATGATGATTAAATCTTGATAAATGTTTTGATTAAAAATGGTAATTATGAATGATTAAATCATAATGAATATATTGATGATTGTGAAAATAATATGTATTGTCAAGGGTATCTAGAAGACCTCTAAGATATACCCATATTAATGTTGATTTGAAAGGGTATCTAGAAGACCTATATAAGTTAGGCCTTGCGGGTATGATGCCCGGTGGCTAGGGTTAAAACGTACGTACGGGATCCAAGAACCAAACTTGAGTACCTACTCGTTTGGGGGTACCACCCACCCAACAGTGAACACTACACTCTCGGTTTTGGTTGGCCTTAAGTGAAGGTAAGTTTAAGATTTCCAAAACCCTTTTATCTTAAACTAAGCCTAGCTTAAGGATTATTAGGAGTACTCTGTATACTGGAATATAATTTAATTAGTTAAACTAGAATTCATTTAAGGGTTACAAATATTAAAAT